TTTTTGGGGGGGGGGGGGGTTGCCAAAATAAATAAATTGAAAAAAACATAAAATAAATTGCGACATGGCATTTCAATCAGAGAAAGTCATTCTAAAAGCGAAGCCGCCGTGCTCTGTAAATCTTCCGCCGCGGGTGCACCCGCGAATCTTCCGCCGCCCGCGGTGTATATTTGCAAAAGAAAAACGTTTTAAAATGTAAATTTAAAAAAAAAGTATCAACAAAAAAACTATAAATGACAAACCATCAAAGAAAATTATTATTATTGCTGCTGATTGATACCGTGGATCTTACCGGTGGGATCGAAGTCCTGGAAATAATCGGGACATCGCTGCTCCGAGATTTCTCCGACAGCCACATCGGCCCAACACAACCAGCCGTCCCACGTCCTGTTACAGACCTGACCTGAGGGAGGAACATATGAGAATTCAAATGTCTCTCTATACCAGGAACATACTGGGGTATGTTCCTGGTATAGTGGGGGTATACATGTTGGGGTATGTTCCTGGTATGATGGGGTATGTTCCTGGTATGGTGGGGTATAAATGATGGGGTATGTTCCTGGGATGGTGGGGGTATAAATGTTGGGGTATGTTCCTGGGATGGTGGGGGTATAAATGTTGGGGTATGTTCCTGGGATGGTGGGGGTATAAATGTTGGGGTATGTTCCTGGGATGGTGGGGGTATAAATGTTGGGGTATGTTCCTGGGATGGTGGGGGTATAAATGTTGGGGTATGTTCCTGGGATGGTGGGGGTATAAATGTTGGGGTATGTTCCTGGGATGGTGGGGGTATAAATGTTGGGGTATGTTCCTGGGATGGTGGGGGTATAAATGTTGGGGTATGTTCCTGGGATGGTGGGGGTATAAATGTTGGGGTATGTTCCTGGGATGGTGGGGGTATAAATGTTGGGGTATGTTCCTGGGATGGTGGGGGTATAAATGTTGGGGTATGTTCCTGGTATGGTGAGGGTATAAATACTGGGGTATGTTCCTGGTATGGTGGGGTATAAATGTTGGGGTATGTACCTGGTATGGTGGGGTATATATGTTGGGGTATGTACCTTGTATGGTGGGGGTATAAATGTTGGGGTATGTTCCTGGTATGATAGGGTATAAATGTTGGGGTATGTACCTGGTATGGAGGGGGTATAAATGTTGGGGTATCTTCCTGGTATGATGGGGTATAAATGTTGGGGTATCTTCCTGGTATGATGGGGTATAAATGTTGGGGTATCTTCCTGGTATGATGGGGTATAAATGTTGGGGTATCTTCCTGGTATGATGGGGTATAAATGTTGGGGTATCTTCCTGGTATGATGGGGTATAAATGTTGGGGTATCTTCCTGGTATGATGGGGTATAAATGTTGGGGTATCTTCCTGGTATGATGGGGTATAAATGTTGGGGTATCTTCCTGGTATGATGGGGTATAAATGTTGGGGTATCTTCCTGGTATGATGGGGTATAAATGTTGGGGTATCTTCCTGGTATGATGGGGTATAAATGTTGGGGTATCTTCCTGGTATGATGGGGTATAAATGTTGGGGTATCTTCCTGGTATGATGGGGTATAAATGTTGGGGTATCTTCCTGGTATGATGGGGTATAAATGTTGGGGTATCTTCCTGGTATGATGGGGTATAAATGTTGGGGTATCTTCCTGGTATGATGGGGTATAAATGTTGGGGTATCTTCCTGGTATGATGGGGTATAAATGTTGGGGTATCTTCCTGGTATGATGGGGTATAAATGTTGGGGTATCTTCCTGGTATGATGGGGTATAAATGTTGGGGTATCTTCCTGGTATGATGGGGTATAAATGTTGGGGTATCTTCCTGGTATGATGGGGTATAAATGTTGGGGTATCTTCCTGGTATGATGGGGTATAAATGTTGGGGTATCTTCCTGGTATGATGGGGTATAAATGTTGGGGTATCTTCCTGGTATGATGGGGTATAAATGTTGGGGTATCTTCCTGGTATGATGGGGTATAAATGTTGGGGTATCTTCCTGGTATGATGGGGTATAAATGTTGGGGTATCTTCCTGGTATGATGGGGTATAAATGTTGGGGTATCTTCCTGGTATGATGGGGTATAAATGTTGGGGTATCTTCCTGGTATGATGGGGTATAAATGTTGGGGTATCTTCCTGGTATGATGGGGTATAAATGTTGGGGTATCTTCCTGGTATGATGGGGTATAAATGTTGGGGTATCTTCCTGGTATGATGGGGTATAAATGTTGGGGTATCTTCCTGGTATGATGGGGTATAAATGTTGGGGTATCTTCCTGGTATGATGGGGTATAAATGTTGGGGTATCTTCCTGGTATGATGGGGTATAAATGTTGGGGTATCTTCCTGGTATGATGGGGTATAAATGTTGGGGTATCTTCCTGGTATGATGGGGTATAAATGTTGGGGTATCTTCCTGGTATGATGGGGTATAAATGTTGGGGTATCTTCCTGGTATGATGGGGTATAAATGTTGGGGTATCTTCCTGGTATGATGGGGTATAAATGTTGGGGTATCTTCCTGGTATGATGGGGTATAAATGTTGGGGTATCTTCCTGGTATGATGGGGTATAAATGTTGGGGTATCTTCCTGGTATGATGGGGTATAAATGTTGGGGTATCTTCCTGGTATGATGGGGTATAAATGTTGGGGTATCTTCCTGGTATGATGGGGTATAAATGTTGGGGTATCTTCCTGGTATGATGGGGTATAAATGTTGGGGTATCTTCCTGGTATGATGGGGTATAAATGTTGGGGTATCTTCCTGGTATGATGGGGTATAAATGTTGGGGTATCTTCCTGGTATGATGGGGTATAAATGTTGGGGTATCTTCCTGGTATGATGGGGTATAAATGTTGGGGTATCTTCCTGGTATGATGGGGTATAAATGTTGGGGTATCTTCCTGGTATGATGGGGTATAAATGTTGGGGTATGTACCTGGTATGGTGGGGTATAAATGTTGGGGTATGTACCTGGCATGGTGGGGTATATATGTTGGGGTATGTACCTGGTATGGTGGGGGGGTATTAGTGTATGACAGGACGGGTGGGTTGGAGGCTCCGCCCCTCACTCTGTTTGGAGTTAAAAAAAAAGTTTGAGAGCTACAAGCATGTGCACAGTGTTTTGGGTGCTATTAACAAGTAATGGTATCGAAAGGTGGTTTTTGATGCGTGAACGCGCTCCAACGCTCGCCCATGCACGCTTCTGAATGCGCAATCACGCAATGCCGAAATGTGACCCGGCACTCAAACCTCCTCATACTCGGCACCCAACTTATACTGAAGCTGAAGAGATTGCCGCTTCCTGCTCTGCCGATCTGCCCTCCCTGGGAGGACTCCGGCTCCAGACACAGACATCCTGCGAGAGCAGAACAGGCCGAGCCAGAGACTGAGGGGCCGATTCACATCATACGCATGGGATCCGTGCATTCAGCGCATGCGTCCGCACAGCTCATGGTACCGCACGCCAATGCCTGTTACTGCAATACTATCAGCTACATACAGGGTGTGAAGACTTATGCTTTATACTGGTGGTATACTGACCCCGGAGTCCCCCCACCCCCGTCCTAGAAGAGCCAGCCTTCCACATTCCGGGCATGCGTTCTTCCTGCATCTCATCAGACTGTGGGCATGCGTTCTTCCTGCATGTCATCAGACTATGGGCATGCATCCTTCCTGCATCTCATCAGACTATGGGCATGCATCCTTCCTGCATCTCATCAGACTATGGGCATGCGTTCTTCATGCATGTCATCAGACTATGGGCATGCATCCTTTCTGCATCTCATCAGACTATGGGCATGCGTTCTTCATGCATGTCATCAGACTATGGGCATGCATTCTTCATGCATCTCATCAGACTATGGGCATGCATTCTTCATGCATCTCATCAGACTATGGGCATGCGTTCTTCCTGCATCTCATCAGACTATGGGCATGCGTTCTTCCTGCATCTCATCAGACTATGGGCATGCGTTCTTCCTGCATCTCATCAGACTATGGGCATGCGTTCTTCCTGCAGCCAGCGTGATGAGGTGACTACGAGGGATCGATCCTTACCTTCCTTTCCCGGGGACTTGTCATGGAGGATCTTCTGGTAGCATTCATACTGCGCAGTCATAATCTTGTATCTCGTCACTTTCACGGGGAAGACGTCTCCTTCGAAGGTTTCCTGCTCCTGCGTCTCTATGTTCGATGCGGCGGTCTAAAAGACAAAAAAACACGCAACGGTTACATGCGCAGCGACGTTCGTGATCAACTGAAACATGCGATATATACGCATAGAGCCGATGTACCACCGCGCGACATCGCTCTCCAATGTATATAGGGAGCTGCAGCTCGCGGTATACTGAGACGCCGCAGCCGGAGCGGATCCCGACAATTGTGTCTGGATCCGCCCAGCTGCGTGACTGACAGCTGGCTCCGCCTAAAGGGGTGATCCAAGGACAGTGGTTCAGGCTCTGGCAGGGACCAGTCTGGCACCAGTGCGTCCCAGTAGCACGGGTCATTGTTACATTTGTTTTGACTAAAAATAGAAAAGATAAAAGACGTCCAACTGGAAAGAAAACTGGCGGCTCCGGGAGAACGCAGGTGACGCGATTCCGATCTATAATTAGAAAGATTGACGGCTGCGCGCGCGTCGTATGAAGTTATAATATACGCGAGTCAAATCGCTGTGACATCATCGCCGCCTTCCATGTACTGGGACCTCTGGGAGATATCCGCGTCACTTCAGTGTGTATTTATGTGTGCGCGTACATGCGTTTATAACAGAGAGCCGGGCCTTGTAATCTCTGCTTTAGAGGAGGGGGAGGGGGTTATTATTTATTCCACAATAAGGAACTTCTCTTATCTGCTCCCTATTGGTCTGTTCAATATACCATTGAAAGCGTTGTCTTATATCTGTTTAAAAAGTGCAAAAAAAATCCCCCGTTGATCCTGCCAGAAATGTTGTGAGATGACGACATCCTGTGCCCTCTATCTGCTCCGGACTCTTTTTAGTTACATTTTCCTATTGCTCTCTGTGGACTACACAACACCCCCTCGTGTGTTCCTGAGATGAGGAGACAGGGAGGTGTCCCACCTCACTTCATGTCCTAGTGTGACAACGCTGCTGCTTCATAGATACAGTACACTGAGTGTTGTCATCGTAGGGAAGGTAGGATGTTACTGGCGGGATCAGCAGCTGAAAATAAAGGAAGGAAACGAATGCAGCCGCCACTTCTAAGGACTGGTAAGCTGCAATATGCACTATATTGCCAAAAGTATTGGGCCCCGCCCCCTCCACATCATTGGATTCCGGTGTTTCAATCCCCTCCATGGCCCCCGGTGTATAGGATGAGGCTCCTCGGCATGCAGACGCTTCTACAGACATCGGTGAGAGAACGGGTCGCTCTCAGGAGCTCAGTGACTACAAGCGTGGTGCCGTGATAGGTTGTCACCTGTGCAATAAGTCCGCCCGTGACATTTCCCGGCTACTAAATATTCCGCCCCGGTCACCTGTTACCGGGATTATAACAAAGTGGAAGCAACAACAGCAACTCAGCCAGGAAGTGGTCGGCCACACAAGGCTGGGATGCCATTAAAGTTCATGTGCATGGAAAGGCGTCCCAATACTTTTGGTACCATACAGTATGATATTTCTGTTCTTGGGTTTAGATACCATTTATTTTGTCTTTTAGATGATTATTATTCCGGATACTTACGGCTGCGATAAAGATGAAGAAGATATAAAATAAAGGAAGATGTGTTCCCATCTTTGAAGGAGACATCTTGGAGGAGACAACCGTTGATCTGCAACAGAAGAGGAACAGAAGTCAACTTGTTAGAGATAATAGGTAGACATGTGCGATTCGTTTCGTTACGAATCAAAATTCGTAGGAATTTTCCTGAAATTCGTAGATTCGGAAGCATCCGAAATCCGAATGGCAGTTTCCAAATTATATCCGAAATACGAAATTCCGGTAACGAATTTCTTTGAAACGGTTGAACAACATGACAAGATTTTTTTTTTTAATCCGAAATCCGGATCCGCTGCTGCTGAGAGTCGCATTACAATACACAGGCAGGAAATACGAAATTCCGTTGACGTATTTTCGTTCCGTTACGAACATTCGTTATATTGAAGGCAAAAAGCAAAGTACATTTATATTGGAGTTGATGGTAGTTTTTTTTTTTATACGAAATACGAAATTCAGATACGGAATTCGTATATCGGATACAAAAACAACTACCACATCGACTCCGATATTAACAAAGGTATTTTTGCTTTTTAACTTCATCATAACGAATGTTCGTAAAGTTAGGAAAATGTGACGAAACGAACGAAAATCCGTATTTCATACGAATCCGAATTGAGTTTCGGATACGAATTACGAAATAACGGATATTCCGAAACGGAACTAATTTTTTGATGGCGCACAAGTCTAATAATAGTTGGTCAGTCTTCAGAAGTGTGATGTTGTATCTACGGTGGAGTCTGGTGGGCTTAGTCACCCCACGGACTTTTTTTATGTCATGGGCAACCCCAACAGTGAGCTCTCCCCATGAAAATCCCTCCTGTCCACCAGGCATTGCAGTGTGCAGAGCCGAGAACCCAGCTAAGGAGCCAGGGGGGGGGGTCACATCTCCAGCATCTACCAAACAATACCAAACAATGGAACACCGTTGCGTGCGCCAGTTGGCGGAGACCCGCCGCCGGCCAATCACGTCACGGCAGGCTGCAACTCCTCCCCCCAGCTGTCAGATATAGGGCGCGAGGTATGAATCCACCGGCGTCAATCCACATTAACAGGATGCCGGTGGATTCATACCTCGCTGTCTACCTTGCTATCACACAGGGGCTTGTTATCTCCTGTGTGATAGCAATAAAGTTAGGTGGGGGAAAAAATAACATTGAGTTAACCTCTTGCCGTCTGCCCGTAGTAAAAAAACGGACGGACGGCACTGCTGCATCTGCGGGTACGCACAGGCAGAAAAGACCCGACCGTTGCACACACCCGTTAACGAGCATGTGCTCGTTCGCGGCCTATATGTGCTCGTTCGCGTTTTCCCCCCCTGACCCCTCACCTTGATTCCCGGGATCCGCTGCCCCATCTTGGATCCCGGGACCGGCTCCGAGGGCGTCAGGAGGAGGAGGACGGGAGATCAGCTCCTTGCTGATCCCCGTCCGGGCTGTGAATGCAGAAGTGATGTGTATTACATCACTTCCGCATTCACCTGTCAGTCATCTGACAAAAAAAAATTTGAAACTAACCCCGCCATCTGATGGACGGGGGGTTGGCGGCGCGGGGTGTCGTACTGTGGAACCTGGCCTTGGGACGGCAAGGAGCGTAAATCCGGCCCTGTGAACGGGACCTTATAGATGAAGTTTGATCTGCTTATATTTTGCTTTCCTTGTTCTAATTACTTTCTGTTTTCATGACATTCCTTTTATTAGACTCTTACGTAGATCATGGCTGCCTCAGTAGTCCGCCAGAGAGTCCTCATGCAAGCTGTGGGCTGGCTCTTGGGAGGGATTATGCAAATATCAAAATGCTCTGATGGCTGGAGGAGAGGGCATTCCCGGGCAAGCTGAACTACATGCAGACCACCCTAGGTGACACCCACATGTGATGCTGAGCCGCCATTGCTGGTCAGTGGGAAGAATGTCCCTTACATTGGGGGTCAGTGGGAAGAATGTCCCTTACATTGGGGGTCAGTGAGAAGAATGCTCCTTACATTGGGGGTCAGTGAGAAGAATGCTCCTTACATTGGGGGTCAGTGAGAAGAATGCTCCTTACATTGGGGGTCAGTGAGAAGAATGCTCCTTACATTGGGGGTCAGTGAGAAGAATGCTCCTTACATTGGGGGTCAGTGAGAAGAATGCTCCTTACATTGGGGGTCAGTGAGAAGAATGCTCCTTACATTGGGGGTCAGTGAGAAGAATGCTCCTTACATTGGGGGTCAGTGAGAAGAATGCTCCTTACATTGGGGGTCAGTGAGAAGAATGCTCCTTACATTGGGGGTCAGTGAGAAGAATGCTCCTTACATTGGGGGTCAGTGAGAAGAATGCTCCTTACATTGGGGGTCAGTGAGAAGAATGCTCCTTACATTGGGGGTCAGTGAGAAGAATGCTCCTTACATTGGGGGTCAGTGAGAAGAATGCTCCTTACATTGGGGGTCAGTGAGAAGAATGCTCCTTACATTGGGGGTCAGTGAGAAGAATGCTCCTTACATTGGGGGTCAGTGAGAAGAATGCTCCTTACATTGGGGGTCAGTGAGAAGAATGCTCCTTACATTGGGGGTCAGTGAGAAGAATGCTCCTTACATTGGGGGTCAGTGAGAAGAATGCTCCTTACATTGGGGGTCAGTGAGAAGAATGCTCCTTACATTGGGGGTCAGTGAGAAGAATGCTCCTTACATTGGGGGTCAGTGAGAAGAATGCTCCTTACATTGGGGGTCAGTGAGAAGAATGCTCCTTACATTGGGGGTCAGTGAGAAGAATGCTCCTTACATTGGGGGTCAGTGAGAAGAATGCTCCTTACATTGGGGGTCAGTGAGAAGAATGCTCCTTACATTGGGGGTCAGTGAGAAGAATGCTCCTTACATTGGGGGTCAGTGAGAAGAATGCTCCTTACATTGGGGGTCAGTGAGAAGAATGCTCCTTACATTGGGGGTCAGTGAGAAGAATGCTCCTTACATTGGGGGTCAGTGAGAAGAATGCTCCTTACATTGGGGGTCAGTGAGAAGAATGCTCCTTACATTGGGGGTCAGTGAGAAGAATGCTCCTTACATTGGGGGTCAGTGAGAAGAATGCTCCTTACATTGGGGGTCAGTGAGAAGAATGCTCCTTACATTGGGGGTCAGTGAGAAGAATGCTCCTTACATTGGGGGTCAGTGAGAAGAATGCTCCTTACATTGGGGGTCAGTGAGAAGAATGCTCCTTACATTGGGGGTCAGTGAGAAGAATGCTCCTTACATTGGGGGTCAGTGAGAAGAATGCTCCTTACATTGGGGGTCAGTGAGAAGAATGCTCCTTACATTGGGGGTCAGTGAGAAGAATGCTCCTTACATTGGGGGTCAGCGGGAAGAATGCTCCTTACATTGGTGATTAATGTAAAGAATACTCCCTACTAGGGATGCACTGATACAGGTATTTCGGTATCGAGTACCAATACCCGAAGTCCCATTCAGGAAGCCTGGCGCTGTGTAATGAAGCAGCGCCCGGCTTCCTGATTGGCTGGGAAGCCGGCTCCATGCTCCCTTGGCATGAGGCTGCGTGTAATGACGTGCTGCCCGGCTTCTTAATACCGGAAGTATCAGGCTAGGCATCGGAGTATTTGGACAAGTACGGGTACTCGCCCAAATACTCGGCACCGATACCGATACTAGTATCGGTGCATCCCTACTCCCTACAGATAGCTAAGAAGACCGTTTGTGTCGGTGGTTATTTATCTAAAAGGCAAACATTTCAGATTGCTCTAAGAACCCCGCACAACGTTTGGAGGAACCCTGATTGGGTAAAGCTGCTCTCACCCTTCCATACTTTACTGGGAAAGGGACTTCTTGTGGTTTAGTGGACTATAGAACAAAAAAAACATGCCGGCGGAAACGTTCCCCGGTTATCAACAACGTGAGGAATGATGTTCCTTCTTCAGGACACTGAAGCTTATCACGCAGATCGGACGCGCGGTGACATCGCTGCGACATCATCGGCCTTCCAATGGTGGACAAGAACTATAACGAAGTCTTCCACCGATGAATGTTTGTTTGGGTGAAAGTTTCCTCGGTGAATCTATTCCCTCAGGTATAGACTGAAGTACATACGGAGTATTCTCCCTGCATGTATGGGAGCCAGCGGAAGGAGCCAGCGAGTTTGCAGGTTGCACACATGTTGTGATGAGCTATTTTGGCAAAGCCCTCCCTACTATTAATACGCATGTTGGGCTTTAGCTGCGTGGAAGCCATCTGTGACTCCGCCAGCTGAATATTATTATTATTTTACAATCCGTACCAAACAAGTGCGAGTCTCCTGCGGTATATATTTGTCAGGCTGATGTCCTGTCTACATTCCACTTAACCCGGCCCAAGGGCAATATTTTGTCTAGCTTGCGCCCCCATTAATACTCTAAGACCCTGTCATTATTTCAAATCTCAAACCGAAGTCACGCCTGCAAAGAAAAGGGTTATTTTGTTGGCATCTTAATATACACACGCACACCACACACACAAACCACACCACACACACACACCACACACACACAAACCACACACACACTAAGGGCTTCATGCTCGGCACTAGCCCCCCCAGATGGTGCTGATGAGCATAGGAAATACAGGGAGCCCTATGTGTTGCTGGATGATATGGGTTTAGAATTGTGTTACTAATTGGTAGCAGCATCGGATGAGCAAGTCATTCAAGCAAAAGTCCAGAACTGCTCATCAGCCCTATACTGCTGACAGTAGAAGAGGCGCTGTACATGTCCAGTCATGTGGACAATATCAAATACACCCTCCTAAATAGTGAATTTCATTGGATCTTATTTGCCTTTCCAACCTGTGTCCCTTCCCTCACCCATAACCATCCCGTGTCCTTCCCCTAACCAAAACCATCTTGTGCCCCTTCCCCCATCCATTCTGTGCCCCTTCCCCCATCCATTCTGTGCCCCTTCCCCCATCCATTCTGTGCCCCTTCCCCCATCCATTCTGTGCCCCTTCCCCCATCCATTCTGTGCCCCTTCCCCCATCCATTCTGTGCCCCTTCCCTAAATCATACCATCCTTTGCCCCTTCCTTTAGCCATATCTATCCTTC